GAAGCTTTCTGTTTCTTGTTGCTGTTGTTCAACAGCAAATTACAGAAATTTTGAGTTGAAGTATTTATAATTTTTTGTGTATCATTTTTCAAAAGGGATGATACCAGTTCCAAAAGATGATACCAGTTTTGGAAATAATTACTTACATTCAAGGGCAGCACTGCCATTAGAAGACAATTAATATTATGTTTGTAAAGTAATAGGCTTTGATCCCATGAGGGCATTTTAGACATTAATAGTCTGAGGCTGGGACAAAGAATAATTTATTATTGTCAAATCTTAGTCCTTTTCAGTATTTGGAAGAGGACCAAATTTTTCATAAGTCTGCTTTTGTTCATTACAATATTCTGCTTCTGTCATAAGACAAAATATTCTAATAACATATATTGGTTACTGTAGGTATATGTCATATATATGAACAGATATGTATCAAATATGTATATACCTCTGTCACATTGTATAAAAAGATGAATAGAGGTGCATGCCATCTGAATAAGTTGCTATGTTTTGGAGTCAGGTGTTCTTGTTGCCCTGTAGTGAAGCTCTAGGCCAAAAGAAATAGTAAAGGGAAACTACGGGATTAAAATTTGTGAGGAAAAGGAAAGCACTGAAAGCATTTGGAAGTGAGAAAAAATAATTATAGCATGAAAATATTGAAAAACAGATTATTTAAATGAGCTTGAAGAGCTTTTGGAATTTATTTGTTTATTAGAATATATGTATTTATACATTATTCATTAAATACAAGAGGAAACACTACCACTACATAGAAACATACAATAAAGTATTTAATTTGCTATTTTTTATTCAGAAAAATGTTGACATTTACAATGTTTGGCCCAATAAATAGATTTCTCCTTGCTGCAGGATACCATTACAGCTTCTTGAGACTGACACGGAGCTCATTATCTAGTATTTACCTACAATTACCTTAATCATTCTAGTTTATTTTCACTGTGCGTTGTTCTAGTTTGTCTCTATGACGGCAGCAGAAATTCTGAACCAAAAGAAACCCACTGCTTTATTCTGTCTGCCTGACAGAGAGAAAGATTTCCTCTGGGAGATTTAGATTACACTGTATGAAATAATAAAAAATACTTTAGAGTCAGACTATCTAGAATATAGATATTATTGAGTATATCATTTGGAACTGCCAAATCAATACTTCACCTTTATTCTCTGAGAACTTTTTTCTCAAAGAAATAGCCAGTGATCTTACTCTTCAAGTATAATGGATCTGTCATGTGTGGATAAAAAATTCAATAGAAATTGGGGAATATCACATTTAATGCTATACCTAAAAGTTTAAAGCCGCTGATGATTATGAGTATGTTGAAGAATAAGAAAGCACGCATTTTTCACATTGTACACTGCATTACAGAAACACTGCTTTAAAAGAAAGCATTACAGAAAGATGTGTAATTATATAATAGTTTTCCACAAACTTCATCTATGTTCTTGGAAAACCTGATCAACACGGGTAATTGACACTACCTTTTTCCTAACAATATTAAGTCAGCATTCTCTTGTGCTTTACTAAATAAATTGAAATAAAGTTATTTAGAAGTCAGGAACAAAATCTTTAGGAAAAATAGGAAATAATAGTTTTTTTATAAAAAAAACTAATAAAGCACTTATGAGAATAATATTGGGTGGTACCACAATGCCAAAAATGCTATTAAGCATTAAATAAGTGAAGTTAGAAAATAAAGAGGATAGAAACAGAACTGTTACACACAATGTAGGTTACATCCGGAAGACAGTAGGCTGAAATGGGGAAACGTGAAGGGTTAGGAAACTCATCCCAAATCCTTCCCATCTGTTCCTACGTCCTTCTCCACGTAACCACAGCACCCTGATAACGCGGGTTCCTAGCCCCGCTGTCTCTGGCCCTCGGGATTCCAGCAGACATGCTGCTGTCTGGGGTGCAGCTGAACTCATTCTTGCACTGTGGCCACTTGACAAATGTGGCCAGATTTGTGGCATTCTGCTCGTCTCCATCGGAGGACAAGAGACTTGTGGAGAACAGCAGAGTGCACAGTACGGGTCTGCTGACGGAGGAACAGTGAGCAAGGCTGGAGAGGCAGCAGAGGCACCTGTAAGCATTCTCCTATCCCTGTGCTCTACTTTACTTTATCTGATACAGATGCAGTCACATCAGGTATGGCTGTCAACAGCGGGATGAGCAGCTACATAGTTGGCAAAGTTCACTGATTCTGAATGACAGAAGCAGAGCTCAAAATATGTCAGATGTGAGTAGGAATTAACTAGACAATTAAGGGAGAAATATTTCCCCTGAGTGAAACAGACACACAGAAAGCAGCAGCATAAGCAGACTTGCTGAAGCTAGGCCTTTAAGCTCAGTACTCTTAGAGGCTGAGGTAGGAGGATTGAAAGTTTGAGCTCATCTGGGGCAGCTAAGCAACTTAGTGAGATTGTGTGAAAATTAAAAATAAAATAAAATAAACTATAATCATTAGGCATATAGTATGGTATAAAGGCACTAGGTTCAATCTCTAATATTTAAAAAAATAAAGCACAATTAAATAGGATGATGACATTGAAATGCCCTTCAAGCTACCTTAGAAGCCAAATTATATAGTAGCCTATAGGACTTATAATCATTTGGCATTTATCAAAAGAAAATAGAGTAGTAAATAGATCATAGTCTCATCTAGATGAATCCAAAATAGTCATTATATACTGGATTTCATACTGCATACAATTAGGACACAGTGTGGTGGTTAGATTTTTTAAAAAAGCTGGTAAACCAGGTTAAAAATTTTTGGTATAACTTGTAGTATTTTTGAGATCTTAATAAAGTCATTTAACTTTATCTTGTTTTGTTTTGTTTTGTTTTGTTTTGTTTTGTTTCTAGATACAGAGTTTCACTATGCAGTTCAGGCTGGCCTTGAACTCATTGTGTAGCCCAGGCTGGCCTTGAACTCATGGTGATCCTCCTGACTCAGCCTCCCAAGCGCTAGGATTACAGGCACAGACCACCAGGTAGTCATTTAACTTTTCTAACCCTCAGCTTCTTCACTGTGAGATAAGAGTAACAATGTCGCCTAAGGGGTTATTTAAATATAAAGTTTAAAAAAGTATGTTTATATGAATGTATCAGTGTATAGTTATATAAATGTGTATATAAGTGTACATACATTAACATACACTAATATATACATTTATACACACTCACGTATTGACACATTTATATAATAGGGACCGAATGATTTTTTTTTTACAGTACTGGGCTTTAAACTGAAGGCCTTCTAACTGAGCTACATCGCCAGCTCTTAACTGATTGATTGATTGATTTATAATTTTGAGACAGGATCTTGCCGCATCAGTAAACTACCCGGGCTGACCTTTCATCTGAGCTCGTCCGACCTCAGCCCGGGATTCTGCTGGGACTGCAGGCAGCGCCACCACGCCCAGCTCTGGAAGGTACTCCGCCACGGTGCAGTGCTGCTCCTAAAGTCATCCGGCTGGGGACCACAGCTGCCACTCTCGGGTACAGGTGGAGACACGGGCGACCACTCCCCCTCTCAAGCCAAGCGGCACGCGAGAGCCCTCAACTGTGCGACCCTGGCCTCACCTCTTTAGAGAAGCAGACAACGGGAAGAGCCTAGGACAGCGATTCCAAAACAGCTCTCCAGAAAGCACCCGCCAAGAACGCGGTTCGGCGGGGAAAGCAGGCGCAGGCGTGGGAGCCCCAGCGGCTGCAGGGCGCTGACGCGGCAGCGTGGGGACCCGGATCATCCTCCTCCGCTTGGGTTGAGCGGGCCTTTTCACCGGGGGCCCTGCAGGGGCGCACACGTGCCCTCCTAGAGCCGAAGCGCCCACTGCCCAACAGTAGGAATTGGCCTCGCCCTTTCCTATCTCTCCACTCAGATCAATTCTGCAAAACCCAGATGCAGACTTTAGTAGAGGAGGAGGAGGACCAAAACTGCGATCATTCATTCCTACTGCACATAGCTTGGGTCCAGGCGGCCCCGAGATGGTGGAAAACACCTTGAAACAGTGATGTGACTGAACGTGAACTTTTATATCACAAAGCAAGGGTTAATTACCCTTGGGCGTAGGATTGCGATTTCAGTGGCATTCAGCTGCAGGGCCACCGTGTCTGTCTAACAACCCCCAAAGGTGCGCACAGGAGAGACAGACCATAGGACGCAGATGGAAGAACTGGAGAAGGAAGTAAACGTTTCAAGTAGGCACACCATTGAATGAAGATTGTTCAATATACCGGCTTTACAAAGATCTAGGGAGCTATCAGGGTAGAAAGCACTTAAGACAGCGCTTAGTGCACGAAAGCTTCTTTTATAATTGTGCTGTATGAACGAAAAGTATCAATTTCCAATAACCCAAAAGGATGTATTGTGTGCCAAGCCTCATGGCATAACCTTCGGAATTTGAATAGAAGATTCGTTCATGGTTCCTTCAATATTAAGCTTTTCTTATTCTAAGAAGGAATTCTTTTTCTACTGTGGAATGAATAAATTTGTTTTCCTCCACCAAATTAAACACACAACATAACTCTTCTTACATTTTGTGATTTCAAGAAACATAGACTATTCCTTCTTATCCTCTTAAGAACATCCACTGTTAAATCAGCATCATTCACCCTTTTGGTTTGGCGTATTAGATGCCTGTATCAAATGCAAATCATAAAACTTTGTCAGGCTTCATTCTCTGAGGGCCCCTTTTTCATCTTTGAGAATGACACAGACAGAAAAGTGGTGAAGCACCGTATAATGTAGATAGAACTCTCCGGAAAGGGACAGTTTTTATGACTGCAGCGAATGTTCCTGTGCCCTAACTCATGAGCGGTCTCTGCGTAAAGGCCGTTTCAACAACAACGAAACAACACAGAGTAAGTGAAGTAGTTCATGTTTTCCAAGAAATGGTAATTTTCGGGGTGAAAACAATGTAAGCGTCCCGCTTTGGAGAACAAAGCGCTTCGTTTGCAGCTTGAGGCAGAGCGGTTGCATACTCACGTCCTGATTGGTCATCTCCCAGTAGGGCCTCTCCCCGTAGGACACCACTTCCCACATCACGATTCCGTAGCTCCAGACATCACTAGCAGAGGTGAACTTTCGGAAAGCTATGGCCTCTGGGGCAGTCCATCTGATTGGAATTTTGCCTCCCTAAAATTGAAAAAGAATATTTCAAATCCTCACATACTTCCAGCGTGTCTAGGGATATGTGCTGTCTCATGAAAAGATCTGGAAAGAGATGTAGCATTTTTAAGTGAATGTGTTTCACAGCACGCAATCTCTTTTCACATCTCCCAGCCCATAAGCACTTGTAGACTAACTACTAATTGGCTGTCCGGATGGTTTCTACTTTAAATTCTGTTTGACTCCCGGAATACACACAGGACCCACATCTCAATTACAGCCCTCAGGAAGGCAGCTCTAAGTAGAGAAAAGCAGACAGTTGGGTGAATCAATGTGTACTCCCAGGGTTTCCTAACAGAGAGCAGGGCTCACGTTCTCTGCATGCTTTTTAGTTTGTTTTTTGTTGTTTTTTTTTTTAAACACAGAAATGTAAGTGGAAGTCTGGGTTGCTAAATGCAACCCTAAGAAGTTTAACAGTTAATAGGCAGAAGAATCTGATATGTTAAAAATTTGGTTTTACATTTCCTCAACATTGTTTTCTTCGAGACTTGATTTTCTCTTCTTTTTTGATGGCGCATTTTTTTCTGTTTGGTTAAGCTGTGCAACCTACAGTACGCATACCTGTTTCATTAGGTCAATGTAAAAATAATTGAACTTGGATTATCAGAGAGAAATTTGCCATAATATTAATTTTTGTTATATTTTGTTTATATGGTAGAAAAATTGGTCTGGTATACCAGTTAACTCTTGCTTCATACAATGAACACTTTTCTATCTGCCTGTTTCAGGCAGGGTATATTATTTTTCCTCTCACTATTTAAAAGCCGGTAAACATAAGCAGATAAGTAAATGCTTCACATATACAAGCAACTATATGGGCTGGGGATTTAGCTCAGCGGCAAAGCGCCTGCCTGGCAAGCGCAAGGTCGTGAGTTCGGTTCCCGGTACCGGAGAAAAACAAAATAAATAAATAAATAAATAAATAAGCAACTATACATTGGAGAGATAGAGGGAGAATTCCTTGTAAAAAAAAAATGGCCAACGCTCTTCCTATCATATAGGAAAAGCATAATTTAATTTGCATCCGTTTCTGTCATAAACCAAACTTTCAAGATATAAGAGGAAATTACAGTTTCATGTCATGCTTCAAATTTGGAGGGTGGGGGAATTGAATTTGTTTCAATTATTTGAATTATGATGTGAGGGCTGGGCATACAGCTCAGCAGCACAAGTGCCTGCTTGGCAAGCACAAGGTCCTGAGTTCAATTCCCAGTACCAAAAAAAAAAAAAAGGATTATAACCAATAATCGAAGGAATTTTGAAGAAGACTTTCCTGAAACTTCTTATTGTTAATGAAGTATTCATAGCCAGGATCACAGAATGAGCTCTAACTAGGCAGGAAGTTGTGACTGTCTGTAACATACAGATAAATCCCACTTACAGGTCTGGCTTTTGATTATGTTGACCTTGAGCACTGTGTCTCTTCTGGTCCTCTGATCACGGCATCATTCGTGTTATTCCACAGCCCATTATCGCTCACCTTGGGGATTTCCCACAGTCCTCTACCACACATTCAGAGACACTACGTGTGGAAGGGCTCAGGGTCTCTGCCTCTCCTTCCAAATCTACAGGGTGACATACTGACTCAGGCCCCGAAAAATTAACTTTTTGCACTTAACTGAGACACCACCAATCAAACTAGTGATAGATTTTTCTATAACCTCAATCTTGCTTAAGCCACATATATTAAGTGAACTGTAATGCCAGGAGAATTCTTAAATGAAGTTTCATTTAATGCAAATAGTGACAATTCTAGTCAGGTCTAGAGGAGGATAGACACCCCATCAATTAATGCGTTGATTTACTAAGCAGGCCATTGGAAGGCTTTGTTTGCTTAGATGAATTACGCTTGGCCTTCAGCACAGTACAAACCCCCAAGTATCACGAGATCACAGAGAAACAGTGTGAAAACACCCTTATAATCACTTAATGAACTTATTTTTAGACTGTCCATAGATATAATTTGAAAAATTTGAATAAATTAAGAGTACATGGGGGGGCTGGGGATTTAGCTCAGCGGCAAAAGCACCTGGCAAGCGCAAGGTCATGAGTTCAATCCTGGTACCGAGGGGCGGGGGAAGGGAACCTTCCTTCTAGCAAGAAAGGGGATTTAAATAATTGGGGCTGGGGATTTACCTCAGCGGCAAAGCGCCTGCCTGGCAAGCGCAAGGTCGTGAGTTCAGTTCCTGGTACCGGAGAAAAACCAAAAAAAAAAAAAAAAAAAAAAAAAAAAAGAATGCATGGGATATATAGCTTATCTTGAGAAAGAAAGATGACAAAAGTGGTACTCTGTATTGAAACAAAAGTTAACCAAGTTGGAAGTGAAAGAATGATAAACTCCACTCTTTACCAAGGAGTTTAGACATAGAGGATGTCTAATTTGATGAAATTGAAAATATTTCAAGTTATACAAAATTATTTAGTTTAAGGAATTCAAAACTGAAATATTATGTTGAAGTCCTATCTAGTTTTCCACAAAAGAAATTGTCAGTTATTCACCTGATCAATTCAAGAAGCAATCACTTTCCCAGGAAGAAAAAAGAGCAGATTTATGCTAATTATGACAGCGAGTTAGTGACCAGTTTTCTATATATGCATTTTCCTAGTATTAAGAAAAGTAATTAGCCATTGCAATATCTCCAGTAATTCCAATTGTTTTAAAAGAAATAGGTCTTCCTTTCTTCCACAGTGTACATCCTTAAAAAATATGATCCAAATGTGTTGATATTCATGTTCATTTGAGGGCACTACAATACAGATAGCTTAAATTATCAAACAGTGCTACATATTTTGATATTCACATATGTATGTGTGCATGTGTATGTGTTCACATAGGAGATTCTCTTTTTATGTTCTTCTACATTCATATTTTTAAACGACTTTCACATTGTTGTATTCCTTATGAACTCAGACTTTATATTTTTGGGACCTTTAATAAAAACACTGAGACTCAGATGGCGAATATTTTCTTTATTAAAGTTTAATATTCTCTTATGGTCAGTTTCCTCCTGACTTTGTTAAAGGAATGCGCTTTTTATTATTTCCTTTAAAATCTTTAAACATCAAACGCCTGCGGTCTGTGTGTCCGAAATGCACCCCGTCAGATCTTACCCTTGTGGTGTAGGCTGCCTCCGCATCATCTTCCAGCACCCTGGAAAGCCCAAAGTCAGACACTTTGCACACGAGGTTGCTGTTGATCAAGATGTTCCTGGCCGCGAGGTCTCGGTGCACATAGCCCATGTCTGAAAGGTACTTCATTCCTGCCGCGATGCCCCTCAGCATGCCCACGAGCTGAATCACCGTGAACTGCCCGTCGTTCTTCTGTGAAGACAAGGAGAAGTACTAGTCTAGCACCAGGAAGCACCAGAGGAAACACAAAAGGATTTTCCTTCAACTTCCAAATACACATTATCATCCATCAAAACCCACATGCAGTGTCTAAGTGAAAGCAAATAGACATTAGAAAACTATACAATTAGCCTATAATCTTCTGTTCAAAGCAGATAAAGGCTTTGAGAGTCCTTGTTAAACCTCCTATTTGGTTGCCTTTATTTATTTACTTCTTTGCACGGTAAATCCTTTATTCTCAGTCACTGGAGGGGTCTGCTCATTACGCCAGCCCCGCCTTAGTCAATGCTGAATATACCTGGAGGTGACTTAAAAGAAACTAGCTGGACACACATGAGGAGGTAATGCATAATGTGTCCGGAGATAAGGGAGTATCTACAGCAGCAGATGGAGAAAGGATGGCTCAGCACTATCCAGGAGGCTATTAGCAATCTAGGAGATGGTGGTTTCTGTCAAAGGCGTTAGATTTAGTGGAGTCACATGGATTCGTGATGTTTAACTGATGGCTACTGGGAAATAAAGGAATGATGTGACTCCTGGAGACTGAAGAACTTGAAAACGTGAATCAGTCTGGTGGAGTGTGGAGACTGGAAGGGAAATTGAGCTTATCTAGGAACGCTCACATTTATTGCACGGCCCCTTCCTAATCAGCAGCAATAAGTATGATACAGACGTCACAAGCTGCCATCCACTCTAGGTTTAATCAGATATACACATGTGCTACATTCTCTCAAAGAAGCGATTTACTAAAAGTATAGCTGCCCATACTTGAAACCCGAGGATGTGCACATAAAAAAAAACAAAGACTCTTTTCCCGAAACTCAGATTTGAAGATTCTGGCTGTCGTCTCCTGCTGTATGACAGCTGTGATTGCCACGGGAGGGTCTCGTCCTCGTGTCCATTATGAGCACGAGCAGATGCCCCTGCCTTCCTTAAGGACTTGTGAGGACACAGCTTTCCTTTCTCTGCTTGATATTATGCACTTTAAGGACATTGTTACTATAAAGTTTCTCTTTTCCCTTCCTCCACTTTCCTTTCCTTCTCTTCCTTCTTCCTTCCCTCCCTCCCTCCCTTCCTTTCTTCATTCCTACTTTCTTTTATTTGTTTTTCAAACTAGTATACCTAAATAAAAACACTGGACAGGGACATATAATTTGGATTTTTTAAAATTTTCTGAACAGACACTACACACCACAGTTAATTTTGGAATACAATTTTTTGAATCCGTAGTTCTACCTATCTTATTTAAAAATATGGCTTTAAAGTTGATCGAATTTAAGCTCAATGTTATGGCCAGTACATACATAGCGCTGTGAAAAACTAAGGCATTTTCAATTCTCACCTTTAAAAATGTATCTAAAGAGCCGTTCTCCATGTACTCCGTCACTATCATCACTGGTTTACCTGCAAAGAACACAGAGCTATAAAATATGATCGGAGAGTACTGCTCTTTGTATTCGCATTTTACATACAATAAGTCTAGCTGAAGTTTTTATTAGTATCCAAATTTGCAAATTTACATATTATATTTATAAATATATATTTACACATACATTCCCATGTTTTTAAAATGTCCTCCAGCAGCAAGCAAATTTCTGCACATGACGATAGCTGACTCAATGAATTGGTCCAATGAGAAAAACTGTTACAAGGTTAGTACCAGATAGACAAAATAAACAGATATAAATGAACACACACGATTGCCAGTAGAAAATGCTACCTAAGTGGAAAAAGAGTTTAAAGACAAATTCTGTTGTAACGGAGGCAATGATATAATGTATCAAATAATATCCAGCAAAGCACCTGGAACATACTCATCTGTCAGACGAATAAAACTCTACTCTAACTGTCCTGTTTATGACCCCTTGAATTTATGTTTTACTTTCCTACCTAAGTGCGAATATTCTCATAACTCGTTAAAACCACCTATATCATACTCGTTTTTTCATCGTTCACCGTACTGTTCTTGTTCCCCTTTCAAAGTGAAAATTTGCCCTAGAAATCATTATTGGGATGGAAGAGGTTCTCCTCCCCTCCTGTTCAGTGCGGAAGAGGAGCCCAGAGGTTAGCGGGGCAGACTTGGGCTGTGCCGCATGGTGTTCAACATCAGAATAATCGCCTGTGGTGATAACTGATTTTAGGTCTTGGTTTGATTGGGTCATGAAATACCCAGAACACTGGAAAAGTAATATATCGGCTGTGTTTATGACAGCGATTGCAGAGATTAGTGCATGAGTCTAATCTGTGGGGAAAATCAGCGCACACTGCGGGCTGTGTACCCAATTAGCCAGCGGCCCAGAGAGAATACCACATAAAAGGAGCACTGTTTTTTCTTTTGCTTTTTTTCTGTCAAGAATTGGCATAGATCTTTTCTCTGATACCTTGGTAATGAGAACTCTGGGATCAGCAGCCTTTGAACCCCAGGATGGCCGCTCCTCCCATGGGGTTTCCAGGCTTTTGGCCTTGAACCGACAGTGACACCACCCGCCTTCCTGGTTCTGAGGCCTTCTGACTGGACCAAGCAGGTTCCCAGGAACTCAGTGCCCTCAGCTCATAGGCGGCTTTTCTGGGGACTGCTCAAAAGCCACAGTCAGCTGAGCCAATGCCCTCACAGATTTCCTGTCCCATATCTATGCGCATGCCATCCATATATAAACACTGTGAGTGTCCAAATCTTGCATAAGAAGCTGTTCCTTTTGTTTCTGTGGAGATCCTGACTGCGAGACTCACCATGTGATCTTGGGCAAGTCATTTATTTCCGTGGCCTCAGTTTTCTCATCTGTAAATTGTGTATAATAACAGCTCATACACAAAGGATTGCTGTGAGTATCCACAAAGCCGTAAAGTTACCCAAGACAAGCAAGTAGCTGCTTCCATGCAGAATTTGCTGCATGAGGTAGTTCTTATTTTACAAATTGATCAACTTTGTCCTGGGGTTTAATGTCCTTGTTAGATATAGATTAACTACAAGAATAAGTAATTTCTTACCCCCTATAAAATTGGGACACTCTGTACATAGTATGTTTACAATAGTAGATGAGAAATACATGACCAAAACTCCTTGCTATATGCTCTATGCTATATGAGCAGGTATCTAAAACATGGTTTCTAGTTTTGTTTGTTTGTTTGTTTGGTTGGTTGGTTTTTCTCCAGTACCGGGAACCGAACTCACGACCTTGTGCTTGCCAGGCAGGCGCATGGTTTCTAGTTTTAGTATTCCGTATAAATCCTGTTACCTTTTAATATACGCCACTTAATTCTGTAACGAAAAGATACTGTATAAAACGCAAGCATTAATTTAAGCTATTTTGGTGCAAGAAAAAGTTCTCTGACAACTTTACCAACATATAAGTTGTCTATTATTTAACTTTTAATACTGTGATAGGAAACAAATCCTACACATCCATAAAATGCATTGTAATGAACTTAACGACATTCTCTGGATGGGTATCTGTGCTTCCTGGATAACTGACGCAGGATGTGGAATTAGAGCTTGAATATTTATACGTACCATGAGGTGTCCAAGAGCAGACACAAAGAAAGTGCCAAGTATATATGACATAAGCAGGGAGAAAAAGTTTTTCAATTGCAAGATCACTAAGAATACTAAGATTAAAGACTCTAACTTCACACAGATAATTATCTTTTAAAATAGTTTAAAAATAATATTATTTTAATGGAATATTTCAGAGGCAGACACATTTCCTTTGTCTTTTCTGAAGTTAATGAAAGTTACACAGAGCTCTCCAGGAGTAACTCAGTGGACCCATCTGTAGATGGGCATGCCAGGTGACCTCACACACAGAGCTTGACAGGTAGCTGCCCAGTGCTCTGGACTTGGGGAGGGAGGGACACCCCGTGCCCAACAGGAAGAGCATCTCACCACGGAGGAACTCATGGAGCTCAAATATGTTCAGAGCCTCAGAATTTTTTCCCTTTTAAATCAAGATATAACAGAAAATGACGCAAGGTGAAGATTTTTCTTTGAGACTGGTCTCAAGATGCAGTCCAGGCTGGCCTGGAACTTGCCACAGTCCTCCTGCCTCATCCTCCCAAGAGCTAAGATGACGGGTGTGCACCGCTGCACCCAGCATGGATTAGTTTGGTGATATTTTAGAGGACAGTTTCTGCGCTGGGGCATTTTGGTCCTATTATTATCTTAGATCCTATTTCAGATTTGTAGGTTTATCTAATGTCCTTCACTCCTAAGAATCAAAAATGAACACACACCTCCCGAGGGTGACGGACAAACGTTCGGACCCAAGTCACTCATGCTGGGGCCACGACGCTGAGCTGTCCCGTGCCCCAGGCTGTGGAGGCTGTCCTGCCTCTGTCTCCTCTCTGAGAGGCGTGGCACCCAGGGGGAGGCGGAGCTCTCACCAAGTGCGGGACCTCCGACACAACCACCAAACTGAACAGAAGCATTTCAATAAACACACAGCTGACAGACATAAAACATACACCCACTGCACCTCAATGCTGACCTACCCAGAAGGCCACACTGTTCCCAGGACCCCAGCCCCCACTCCAGTGTGGTTATTTCACTCTCACCCTCCCTATCTTTTCACAGAAAGCCACCGACTGGTTGCCACATTAAAAAGGATTGAAAAATGGAATTCATCTGACTGCCCTCCGTGGTGCCCCTCAGTTCTTACTCTATGAGCATATGCTTTGCTCATGGAAGTACGACAGTGATCTGTTTATCATGTCCTACTTTACAGCGTGTCCCTGTATTGCAGGCTTTTCCTACACACCTACTCACAGTGCTTCCAGTTTGTTCTCTGTTGTCCTAGAATGTCTGCTGCCTACCGTCTCATATTTGAGACTCCTCTTACAGTTATTGGTCGGTAGTAAACACAGTGGCTCCTCAGAATGCCTGGAGGATTGGCTTCAGGACTCCAACTGACCCCCAAATCTTCAGATACTCAGTCCCCTTTGTAAAATTGCATCATGTCTACATAATGCCCAGGGACATCCATCCTCCCGCATGGTTTGCGGCACATCTACATTGCTTAAAATAGCTGATGTGCAAACTCTCTGTAAATAGTGTGTCTATGGTACTGTTTAGGGAATAACTGATAGGGAGGAAAGCCCGCACATGTTCACTCTAAAAGTGACTTTTCCTCAGATATTTTTGATCTGAATTTGGTTGAATCATTGGCAGTAAAACTTACAGAGAGCAACCATACTTACCGTGCTCACCTCAGGACTAAAGGGCAGGATTTTGAAAGAATTCCTATGTGAAAGTCTGCCTCATTTAGATAAGTTTGTTTATCAAATCAAACCTCAAATTCATGGCATTCAGAAGACAGAATCTATATGCTAAAGAGAATGTACTGATTGGAAAACTTGGTATCACTGAATAATTCACATTCGGAAAGAAACAATGATTACTTTTTAAGGAGATAGTCACCTGGTATTCATTCTGTGTGATTTTTTTTTAAGTAACATCACCTACTCTAAAAAGTCAGATTAATTATCTATGGGAGTGTAGATTGTAATGTCAAAAACCAAAATGTTAGTTGGGAAATATGATAGGAACATAAAAACCTTTCTTACTTTAGCTGATGAGGGAAAAATAAATAAAACAAACATTTGCAAACAAGTAGGATCTTTTTTTAGTTGACAACAATAAGACACTTCAGAACCTATTCCATTATTTCTCATGCTTGAGTCATTTTAATGCTAATTACATTTAGTTTGGCTTATGTTTTGTCTCAGTTCCTGCTAGCCTGCAAGAATGACATTGGCAATAATTAATGTAGCTTACTCCAACCCTAGTAAATTCAATAAAACTGTATAAATCACTTTCCATTATCCAGCTTGAAGTACAGACAAAGACTGGATCTGCCAATAATTTTGAAAGTGTGTTATCAAAAATCCATATAAAAGAGCTCATAGAGCATGTCAAAACATGATTTTAATCACAGAGTAGTTTTTATATTACTTTGTATTATTTACAGAGAAGCCAGAATCTGTGAAGCAGAAACACATTATTTGTGGAATTCACCTTTTATTACTGATAAATGTACAAGAGCTCCAGTTTAGTGATTTATTGAATGCTTGCATTTCTAAGGCACTATAGTTAATTTAATTACTATAACATAACAATGTACACTTTTCAGAAAAAGAAAGTAGGGCTAGAAAGTTTTAATATTGCTCTGGTTATAAAATAAGATGCAGAAAATGCAAAACTGAGAATAAAAATGCTATTCTTTCACTCACACTATGATGTCCATTTTCAAAATAATTTTCATGTTTTGTTTTAAAACATCACAAATTTTCCCTTTTCCATTAAAATAGATTTAGTAATGACCATGTCATACCAAATTATTAACCACTGATGACAAATATAGTAGGAGTTCAGCTCATTCTATTCTTACATATGGTCTTCACAAGTTACT